TGGCAATATTCTCACTCAGCCTAAATAGGTCAAAAGTATAACTTGAAGTAGTTTTAGTTCAGATAATGGGTTTCACAAATATACCAGAAGCACCAGTGTCAAAAGGACATCCTAAGGTGGAAGTTCTACCCACATGTACTCTTGAATTGCTCAGATGGTGTTAATCTGTTCTTGTGCAGAGCTGCTCATTCTTAAAAATGACATTCCGAGTTGAAAGGAGAAGACAAGTCACACAGTGGAAGCAATCTCCTCCACGGCAAGGATTTACCTAATCTCTCTCTCCCTCCTGAGATAACTATTCTCTCCCGGCTTTGCTGCTATCCTTTCTACACACTGCTATTGTTGCACAAATTGCATAACTGTATTGTGATTTGTCAACTCTGTTCTCTCCCACTAGACTCTGAGCTCTCTGAGGGCAGGATATAAACCACACAGTCCACTGTGCCTGGAATAGACTAGCTGCCCAGACAACTTTTATTAAACTGAACAAAAGAAGCAACAAGGATTTTTAAATGCTGCATTTGTAAGATACATGGCTATAGAAACCTGAATATTCTTGGAAGCTAAACTTCATGCAGAATGAGTCAATGTTTCCGTCCTGTTTAAATATAAGATTTTGAGATAGCATATTATTTATGTCCATCATAAAAACTTAACAAACATTGCACAATACAATAAGCACAATAAATTGGTAACTTCTGGCACAATTAGAAAGACGTTTCTTTTCTATATACTCTTTTTGTCCACCCCTTACCATCTCTACCTCCTATAACCCAGTACAGGCTGTAAACCTCAAACCTGCTATTTTTAGCAGTGAGTTATCAGAGGACCTTGACTTCCTCTTAGAATGGTGGTATGCAGCTTCTGAGACTATAATAGCAGGGCTAATCATGGTAGAGCCGTCAGAGTATTTGCTGATTGCCATCTTCTGTTATAAAGACTTTAAAAACACTTCCTTGTCATAAGGTGGAAAAGAGCCCACATGTCTGCAAAATAGTCCTTATCAGGAAAAATAGGAACACAGCACAATTTCTTTCTGGTCTTGAAACATTTGCAAACTACTGATATGACAGTCACATGATGTCTCAAATCTTTAGACATCTCCCCTAGGCAGAAAAGAGAGGCTCACTTTTCTTCCCTGCTGGCTTTCCTGAGATTTAAGTGGTGGGACTGTGTTGAAACAACTGGCTGACTTTTTTTAAGAAACGTGGTAATCCAAAACTCTAGGGACCGGATAGTTGATTCTGGTAGGACTGATCTGTCCTTACAATTTCTTTTCAGATTAGTTTGGCAGAGATAAGATTTCTCAAAAGTATATTTGCTTTCTATCAAAGAAGAAGAAAACACACACACACACACACACGCGTGTGTGCGCAGGTGATCAGTGATTAAATGTTATAATAAAATACCCAATCCAAATTGCCTGTGCTTAAACTAACCTGAACTACTGATGCAGCCATTTTGAGTGAACTTAACAGGAAACACAGCTGAATATATCTTCTTCCTGGTATTTGAGAAGAAGGAAAATAAAACAACTTGGATATAGGCTTGATCTATGTAACATAGTCACTATGTCACTATGTAAAATAGTGGTTAAGAGTGTGGATGCTAGAGTCAGATTGGAATCTAGGTTTGAACACTGATTCCACCACTGTCTAGCTGTGGGATCAAATTACCTAAACTCTCTGGGGCTCTATTTCTGTGTCTGTGTGATGGTACTTACCACTTGTGTGTGTTGCAGGCATTAGAATTATGTCAGGACATATAAATCACTGAACATGGTGCTTGACACTTCATTATTGGTTACTACATGTAGATTATTATAAAGCTACTGAAATTTAGCTTCAGGGGCCCTCACTTGCACAGACCCTCTCCAAGTTCTCAGGAGGGGCTCTAGCAGAGTGTTCAATGTGATGGTTAATTTTATATCAACTTGACTGAACTAAATGATGCCAAGGTAGCTGGTAAAACACATTATTTGGGGTGTGTCTGTGAAAAAAAAGGAAACACACACACACACACACACATGGAGGTGATCAGTGATTAAATTTTATAAAACACCCAATCCACAAGAGAAGGGCATTTGGATCAGTAGACTAGTAAAGAAGACCACCTCACCAATGTGGGAGGGCATTATCCACTATGCCGAAGGCCTGAATAGAACAAAACAGCAGAGGAGAAGGGTGAATGTGCCCTTGCTGCTTGAGCTGGGACATTCATCTTCTCCTGCCTTGGATATCAGTGCTCCTGATTCTCAGGCCTTTGGACTTGGACTAGAACAACACCACCTGTTTTCATGGGCCTCCAGCCTGCAGACAGCAGATTGTGGGATTTCTCAGCCTCCATAATTGCATAAGCCAATCCCTCATTATAAATCTCCTTCTATATACTGTTGTGTGTTGCTTAATGATGAAGCTAAGTCTTTAGAAATGCATCATTAGGCAATTTTATCATTGTGTAAACATCATAGAGTATACTTACCAAATGGTAGTATTGCTTACTACACACCTAAGCTATATGGTAAAACCTACTGTTCCTAGGTGATGAATCTGTGCAGCATGTTACTGTACCAAATGCTGCAGATAACTCTAACACAATGGTAAATGTTTGTGTATTTAAACACATCTAAACAGATAAAAGTTACAGTAAAATACAATATTATAATATCATCATGGAAACACTGTTGTATATATGGTGTGTTATTGACTGAAACATCATTTTGCTGTTCATTACTCTATCTATAAGTATTCTATTGGTTTTGTTTCTCTGGGGAACCCTGACTGATACAGTTCACATATGTATTTTTTTGAGTTTCATGAAGTAAGTGATTTTTAATTACAATGAGTTAAGGCTGCTATCTCTCTCTCTCTGTCAAATTTCACTGTATCATTTTCCCTTGAATTTAGAGGTGCTTGAGTGTCTACCAGCATTTTGGGGATCTGACTAAGGGGAAGTTTTGTTGAGAACATATCATTTAACTAAAATTTAAAAACACATTTTGGATTGTTCCAATAGAACAACTGAGAAATTATAAAAACCTAATTTGGATATAAAAGAAAGGTGCTCCGTTTGGTTATCTATAAGTGCTTTTATTAAGGAACTAAGAAAATTTACATAAAAAGTTAATGGGATATGAAATAAAAGTGATAAAAATGCATGATGAAATCAATATTTGCTTCTTATTCAGATACCAAGAAGCAAACTATGTATAACACTTTTTTCCAGATCATTCCAAAACCAGTACTTCCTTACTGGGAAAAGAGAAATTTTTAGTAGAAGTAATGGATAAAATCTTGGATTGTTTGATACTCTAATAAGAGGAAGGAATCATAAAATTATAGAAATTTCTTGCAGATTTGATACAAAATACTGATGTTGACAAAGATGACATACAACTCAAAATATGCTTCTGCAATAAGGAAACAGATGACAGACTAAATAATGAGTCTGTCAGTTTTCACTGGTATCCTGAAATTTTTATAGCTGATACACAGAAAAGCCTGGTAAAGATTTTCCCAAATCCAATATCAATCATAAAATATACTATGGTATTAATAATGAATTAAGAAACTGAAATAAACATTTTAAAACAGCAACAATTTTTAAAAACAAAATTTAATTAGCCATGTTAAAAAAAACTAAATTTTAAAAAAGTTCTCTCTAGAAAATTATACTATATTATTATCATATGAAGAGGTGATCAGAGAGTATACAGCCAAAATTATTGGCAAAAAGTTGTATAGCCATATATGTCAGGCAGTTTATTAATCAAAATATTATGACATTTTCCAGATTTTTCATGTTTGTGAATATAGAATACTTTTTATTTTCCAGAGATGGTCATCACAGCATCTCCTATCCCGCATGCTCTTGTTACAAGGTGATTGACATATCTCTCCTTGAGAGGTGAAATCTATGTTCCTTCTCTTTGAACCTGAGCAGATGTGACTGGCTGAAAGGATGTTGTAGTTGACAGAATAAAGGTCTCTCAAAAATGTCCACAACCGGCTGGGTGCAGTGGCTCATGCCTGTAATCCCAGCACTTTGGGATGCTGAGGTGGGTGGATCACTTGAGACCGGGAGTGAAACCCCATCTCTACTATAAACACAAAGATTAGCCAGGTGTGATGGTGCGCGCCTGTAATCCCAGCTACTCAGGAGGCTGAGGCAGGAGAATCAGTTGAACCCAGGAGGCAGAGGTTGCAGTGAGCAGAGCTGGTGCCCCTGCACTCCAGCCTGGACGACACAGTAAGACTGTCTCAAGGAAAAAAAAAGTCCACATCCTATTCCTCACCACCTGTGAATATGTTATGTAATATAGCAAGACAGAATTAAGGTTGCAAATCTGCTGACCGTTTGTCTTTTTCTTCTTCTTCTTTTTTTTTTTTTTTTTTTTTTTTTTTTTGAGACAGAGTCTTTCTCTGTCACCCAGGCTAGAATGCAGTGGCATGAACACGTCTCACTGCAAACTTGACCTGGGCTCAAGTGATCTTCCCACCTCAGCCTCCCAAGTAGCTGAGACTACAGGTGCATGCCACCATGCTTGGCTAATTTTTAAAATTTCTGTAGAGGTAGTGTCTTGTCATGTTGCCCAGGCTGGTCTAGAACTCCTGGGCTCAGACAGTCCTCCCCCCTTGGTATCCCAAAGTTCAGGGCTTACAGGCATGAGCCACCATGTCCAAACTTTTCTTTTTCTTAAAAATATGGAACACTTTGGCTGGGCGTGGTGGCTCACGCCTGTAATCCTAGCACTTTGGGAGGCTGAGGCGGGTGGATTGCCTGAGCTCAGGAGTTTGAGATCAGCTTGGGCAATGTAGTAAAACCCTGTCTCTACTAAAATACAAAAAATTAGCTGGGCGTGGCGGCGTGCACTATAATCCCAGCTACTTGGGAGGCTGAGGCAGAAGAATTGCAAGAACCCGGGAGGCAGAAGTTGCAGTGAGCCAAGATCAAGCCACTGCACTCCAGCTTGGGTGACACAGTGATACTCCATTTAAAAAAAAAAAAAAAGGAAGGTCACAAATTTACCTGTCATCCTTGCATGGTGGCCATGCTAATCTTCTCTGTAACATTCCAATTTCAATATATGTGGCTAGGTGCAGTGGCTCATGCCTGGTAATCCCAGCACTTTGGGAGGCTGAGGCAGGCAGATCACCTGAGGTCAGGAGTTCAAGACCAGCCTGGTCAACATGGCAAAAATTAGCTGGGCATGGTGTGCATGGCTGTAATCCCAGCTACTTGGGAGGCTGAGGCAGGAGAATCTCTTGAACCCTCAGAGTCAAATGAGCATTGTGTTCTCAGGTTCCAGAGGTAGTCTGCAGAAGGCTAACTTTCTTGCAGGCTAGTAGAACTGGGAGGGGCTAAACTGGCAGGCTGGAAATACTGGTCTGCTTGCCGTAGTCTTTCAGATGGTCTCTACAGTGTGGATAATTTCCACAGTTCCAAAGCTGGGCATGTCAATATCTGGGAGTTGACTGTGTTGTGAATACCGCCAAGCCTTGCACAGATAAACACTCTTCCAAAAATACAGGGCATGCTTCTAGCATTAACAACAAAAGCAACAAAATATCTATGTAGTAAATGGATTATAAAATGTTGATTTCAAATTTGAGACTATCTTGTTTGTGGGAAAATCAGAAAGGAGAATATATGAAATGCCGCACTGATTTATTCTGGTGATTGCTTGAAGAAAGAGATTAATCATCTGCTATATAAATCGTCTCATTCTCCCAGGTTCTGATTTTAAAATGAGCTCTTGGTTGGAAAATCTGCATCACTTCAAGATGGCACCCTATGATATAATGCTATACCTTCCTTGTTCCTCTCCCTCAGAGAGGCATTGCTGTCTCCATTGTAGGTCCTGTGAAGCAGGGCTTATCTAAGCAGGAAGTTTGCAGCTGCAAACCACATTTTTTTTTTTTTTTTTTTTTTTTTTTTAGACAGGCTTTTGCCCTGTTGCCCAGGCTGGAGTGCAGTGACATGATCAAGGCTCCCTATAGCCTAAACCTCCCAGGCTCAAGCAATCTTCTTGCCTCTGCCTCCCATGTAGCTGGGACTACGGGTGCATGATACCATGCCCAGCTAATTTTTAAAATTTTTTGTAAAGACAAAGTCTGGCTATGTTGCCCAGGCTGATCTTGAACTCCTGGGCTCAAGTGATCCTCCCACCTCAGTCTCCCAAAGTGCTGGGATTCCAGATGTGAACCTCCGTGCTCAGCTTAATGACAGAAAACAGCCCAGGCAGGGAGACAGCAATAGTGACTAGATAGGGAGGGTGAGTATGGCCTCATGTCAGCTTTACATATCCTTATCCTCAGGTTCTTTCCTTTTGGGGCTGCTTTCCACCAGACTTCTTGGATGAGGTTGGGATGATCCCTTCCTTTCCGTTCATGAAGTTACAACCTGGTGAAAAATTCCAACAGCCTAGAAATAAATAGCTAATTGCTTTCACAGATGTTTGTATTCAGTCATCACATATGAAGCAGACACAGCTACCTCTGGTTTTTTGTTTTCCTAGGTTAGGAAACTGAGGCTTGGCCAGGCGAGGTGGCTCATGCCTGTAATCCCAGCACTTTGGGAGGCCGAGGCAGGTGGATCACGAGGTCAGGAGTTCAAGACTCAGCATGGCCAAGATGGTGAAACCCCGTCTCTAAAAAAAAAGAAAAGAAAGCTGAGGCTCAAGACAATGGGGATTATTCAAGGTATTCAAGGCACCATCTTTAATGAGTAGGAAAGCTGGGACACAAAGCCATTTTGATCCATGGCCAGTGCTTTTGCCCTACACCTCAGACATCCCAGGGTATATTCTGGGGCCTTGTTTTATTTGTGTGTTTTTGTATCCCTGGTGCCGAGTAGCATGCCTGGCAATCAATGCCTAGTCATTAAATTTCAATTGAATAAAAAGTTGGATTTGTTGTCAAAAACCACATCTGTGAGACTAAAGGTGATGTTTGGAAAGTAGTAGCAATTTTGATGCCTTATGAAATCTGAGTCATTTAGGGAAGCGCTGCAGCTGTCCCATGGAAGTGCCCTATATTCAAGGTAGAAGCTTAAGTGTGAGTAGGTTTGCAGGACACTTGTCAGGAGTCAGGGATTCACTGAATGTAGGCATTGTTTTTGTGTGGGCACTCCCTGCTTATTACCCATTCTATGAGCACCTTCTAGTTTTAGTCTCACATGTCACTGAGGACAATGGGCTGCACATGAGGCCTTTATGGGGTTACTGGTGACAGTATCACCCAATCCCACTGCACCCCTATCATGTACTGTGGAAGATCAAGTATCTTAAATTGTCTGAAAGTTCTTGGGGTGGGTGCCAGGTTTCTGATTTCCTTATTTTGTACATGTGCATGCATGATACAGGAAATCTACCCTCTAGAAAGCTCAGGAAAGTCTAATGGGTAAAGCCTGATTAGCCTAAGGGCAGTAATGTCGTTTTTCATAAATAACACTTTCGGCTTCAGCAAGGTAAGCCAAGATGATAAGGACAAATAGAATGAGGAGGTTTTTTTTTTTTTTTAATTTTAAAAAAGATATATTAACAAACAAAAAGTTCTGCAAAGTAAACAGAGAAAACCTGCATAATTCTCCAGCCCAAGAATATCATCATCCTTAAAATGAGGTGTTTAAAAAAGAGGATGCTATATTAATAACTAGTGGACCAATATTTTTAATGACTGCTTTCCTTTAATTTTAAAGAGATAACTGGACTAAAGTGGATAAAGGACTCCATCTTGGACAACCTGATCAGTCTTTTCTTCTGTGCTGAGCAGGGCCTGCCAAGAGCAGGAAATTTAATACCATTTACAAAGCTTTCTTGTCTTACTCTCAGAGAAAGCCATCACTCTGTTCACATCATTCAAGAGGCTGTCTGCAAAAAGACATATAAAATACCAGTTATAAAATATAGAGTACACATTTAGTATAGCTTCATGACATTTAGTGATCTAAGCAGCAAGATGATTATGTCAAATAAAAGTTATCACTTATCTATGCTTAAAAGATCAAATAAGCATGGGATAAAATTATGTAGCCTAAGCAAAGGGCAATTTCTAAAACTTTTTTTTTTGTTTTATAGTCTGTTATTTTTAAAGTCTTCTACCACATAAATTTGCATTTCCTCTTTCACATCACTTATAAAATAACATATGTTCTTTTTGTTACCTTTGCCTTCTTACTTGGAAAAAATGTCCCCAGTCTCCTTCATGCTTTGGTCACAAACTCTTATTTCTCTGGTGGTGGACAGTTGGTCGAGCTGCTTTCTGTCGGTGGGCTCTGTCCACTCAGCCTTTTGACACTGTACAATGAGCTGTTAATCTCTGTAATTTTAATCTTAGTTCTATTCTCCAAGTGAGTTTCATGTTCCTATTATGTTTTTCAGCATAGATTTCCAGCAAGATGATTATGTCAAATAAAAGTTATCACTTAAATAATGTTTAAAAGATCAAATCAGCTTCGGATAAAACTATGTAGCCTGTAAATAATTTAAAGTAATATGGTAATTTTATCTTATTTGCCAAAACGCTCGCCAAGGTCACACCACTGTGAAATAAGTGCTAGCTTTTTGGGCTCCCTTCCCCCAGTTGCTCTGTGCTGCAAACAGATGCCTGTGTTTAGTCCGAGCTCATATGCAGAAGAAACTATTTCTAAAATTCCTTAGCTGCTTTGCAAAGAAGAACGCTGCCAAAGCTATATTGTATGCCTTCCTATATTTCACAAGTAACAAAATAATTCACAGAAAGCATACAGAAGAGCAGAAAAGAGAAATCTGTTTCCAGGGGCTGATTATGTAGATTAGAACTCAGGATTGCATTATTTACTAATTTAGAAGGGAGAAAGTAAACAAACTATAAATGTTCCAGGGGAGTAAACCACATCTCCCAGTGATACTCTGTGTGAAAGTTTCTCTGGCCTAAGGCACCTGGTTGGTTTGCTTTTTGTCCTGTCCCGGGAGAGGTGTCGCCTATAATAACAACCACGCTAATTATAATGAACAATAAATGATAATTTATGGGTTACTAAGGACCAAGCAGCTCTGGGAGTCTTCATTAAAACAACAGCACAACTACAACCTCTGGAGGTACGCTATAATTATTAGATGTTTATGTACTCTCATCAGCGTGCCAAGTTTTTATTAAGAAGTCCCTCCTGAATTGTTTTTAATTATGGAAAAATTCCAAGACACACAAGTAGGAAGAATAGTGTAATGAAGCCTCTTGTACCCATCATTCAGCTTCGACCCTCAACTTTTTTCCTATCTTGTTTCACATTTCTCCTCCTTTTTTTCCTCTTGGGTTGGAGACTTATAAAACAAATACCCAAACATGTAGCATTTATTTATTGAATATTTTAGTAAACGCCCCGACAATGTTATAATAATGTGATGGGTTATTGCGAGATGGAACCCCAAGACAAGGAATTGAGAAAACTCTCCCATGGCTGAAGGGGTTGTCACAAAGGTTAGCTCTTTGGAGATACTCCGCGAGCATGGCATTCCCCCGGAACGGGCGCAGGTAACCGGGAGCGAAGGCAAGCCCCCGTAGGGCAGGTGACGGAATGCCCTCCCCACCGCCCACTCAGGCGTGCGCAATCCAGACCCCGGAGTTGCTAAGGCCCCAAGGCAGAGAGAGGCTCAGGATACGGAGAAAGCCAATCAGAGTGCTCCAAGACTATTGAGAGAGCTAATCCAGATTCGAGGGTGGATCAAGACCTCAGCTTTCCGTTCGCCCCTCCCGCATCCAATCAGAGAGCCGGCTACTTTGGGCGGACTTTTCAAAACAGCGAAAACAAAACAAATCGGGGACCTTTAAAAGGCTTAACGAGACCAGAAACAGTCTCCTTCCGCCCCTCAGTCATTTTCCCCCGCCGTCTCCCAACCTGGATCAATCGCGGGACAAGCCCGACGCCCAGATTCCACCCTCCGCCCTGGTGCCGAGCGGAAGGACTGGCTCGGCAAAGCCTAGGAGAGCTAGGGAGGCCGCGAGAAAGGCTAGAGACGGCTAAGAAGCGGGACTCTTTTTCAAAGTCTGTGGCGGAAGTGCGGGATCCCTCCGCGGGGAATCACGTGCCCCGCCCCCTTGGGGGCGTCGAAAACTCATAACAAAAACAA